AGAGAGTGATAAAGAAATTAAATTAAAACTGAGAAAAAAGACGCTGTGTACGATTTTCTGAATGTACCACAACTAGCGATAAACGTCTGAATGAAAATTGATTCATTTCAAATTTTCATTAAATATAGCTGTGATATTTCTCCCCCTGTAGCGTGTCTCCTTGTTATTTACTGACTTGTTAGTTAGTAATATTTCAGGCAGCACCACTTGTGGCAAAAACAAAACAACAAACACCCCTAAAAATAATGAGTAGATCACTGCTGCCAGCAGTTTTATGTTGATCATCTGTTTTTGTCCACTTATTAAAAAAATCATGTTTTTTTTTTTTACTACAAAGTGTTTCAGCTTTTCAAAGAAGATTTTACATTAAACTATTATGATATGAATGAATAAAAAAGGCAGTTTCTAAGCAATAAATAAGCTATTTAAATACACACACACACACACACACGAACAGTTTTTCCTTATCCCTGTGGCTGCATGCATGCTCAGTCTGAGGGATTGCTGTAGATGTAATGATGACACAATGTAAACTAACGTCTATTGTTGCTACATGCTCATCCAGGAGGAGCAGATCCTGCAACATCACAAACTCAGTGCAAGCAGCTTTTAACCGATCTGTCTGTATGATTTGATTGTGCTTTGAGATGACGTGCGGTGAATTGGCGCCATATTAATAAACTGAATTGAAAGGTCTCAGTTAAGGTCATTGTTCATGAAATAATAATCAGAAAGGGACTGGGCAAAAAACAAAAAAATCAACAGATTGCAAGACCAAAACCACCTTTGACACAAACATAAACTGCCCTCTCATGTTTCCTAACAAAGACATCTCACTAATCCCCAAGCCTTGAGAGAAAGCAAGACTCTTACAGCGACTCAAGCAACAACATCATAGCATTCAAACCTGGTGATGGCAGTGTTATGGTATGAGAATGCTTTATTTAATCTTTATCCGAGTTAACTATCATAATAGATAAATCACAATCTATTTGTTTAACTAGAAAAGCACAAGCAATGTTTGTAAACTCGTTCAAGTACGGCTGGATTATGAAGGAAGACAATGATCCAAAACATGTCAGCAAGCATCCCTTCAAGACTAAAACACCAGCGAAAAAAGTAGGGTTTTGGAGTTGTCTATTCAAAGATTGGACATGATTAAATTGATGTGCCATTACCTTTATTTACTTTTTCACACAACACTGGATTGGTTTGACTAAAGCTCATATTGTCTTATATAAAATGTGTTTGATGATCTGGAAATTTTAGATGTGATTAAAAAAATTGCAAGGAGAAAAACTATTTTTCAAGGCAAGATATATTTCTTTCCTTTAGTTTTGCTGCTTTCTGTTTGCCGACTGAGTGCTGCTAAAAAGTCCTGAAGGATTAACTCTTTGTCCCTATATTTAAGCTTGAGCCCAAGAGAAACAGAAAAAAGGAGCCCCGTAAGGGCAAGAAGAAGTTGTGCAGGCACAAGAATGAGGAAGAGAAAAACAGCAACGAGCAGATGAATGATATTTGATGTTTCTGGCTCATCATTTTTCTGCAGCTATTGTGCAAAAACCCCAACAAGGACCGCTTCACACATGACAAGAGGAAACAATCAAGGACTGACAACAATACCAGAGGATCTCTGTTCAGATGGGATCTATAGAGGGAGGTGGCAGCTGTGTGTGTGATACGCAGAGACCTTGTGTGCACTGAGGAGTAGGTGTGTGTGTGTGTGTGTGTGTGTGTGTGTGTGTGTGTGTGTGTGTGTGTGTGTGTTAAGTATGAATAATGCAGAAGATGCCTGTAGGAGCATGAGGGCCGGGAGGAGGGCAGATGGTCGTTGGATGATAAGGCAGGATTCAGGCAGCGGGGTCCTCCAGAGAGCTGAATTCAGACCTGCCTCGGAAGATACAGACACCCTCACACAAAGAAACACAGCGGAAAAAAAAAAACATGTCTTCTTTAATATTTTTCCCTCTTTTATCATGGTTTGGTCAGATTTTCGAATAAAATAGTCAATTACATATTCCTTTTCTTTAGAACATAAAAAAAAGATTTGTAGAGAATGCTGGTAACTAAAACAACACAGTTTTGGATTTTTAGGTGCTCTTTAGTGTTTGCTGAGTAAATTAAAGTGAATTTATTTGACATAATTTACTGCAAATTTCAATAGAGCAGGTGGTTTGGTACAAACTTCACTGCCATAGTACCTCACCAAAGCTTTGTTTATCTAATCAAAATCTTTCAATGTCCTTTGTTAGTATTTGGCAATTTGAAACAATAGAATGTTTATATATATATTATATTTCTTGTATAACTCCATCATTAAGACAAATAAGAAAAAAAAAAAAAAATACACAGAGGTGTGAAATAATGGCCTTTGCATTCATGACTGCTGAAATTTTTCCAGCATCCAAAAGAAGGTTAAACAAACCCTCAAAGTGCAAAATAAACTGGCTGTTCAGAGAGAGCTGCAGCTACTGTAATTAGAAAAAATAGAGGGTCTCCAGTCTGCTATCATTGCAGGAACGCTGCAGTTTTACAACCATAAGCTGTGCAAATAAAGCCATACCTGACCCTTTATCATCCTGGAAATTGTCTCTTTGAGATTCCTCCTTATGGCCAGATGTTGATTTCAAACGATAGAAAATTAAATTATTGCAACTGATGTTAAGGCTTCATGAACCTCCAGACACAGACATATCTATGATCCTGGGAAACAACTGTTGCATCCCCTATGTAAGGTCACTCCTGGACATCAACAGAGGCTCCTGAGGTGGGCTGAAGAGAAAAACAACTGAACTGTTTCACAGTGGCATAAAATCCTCTTCTTAAAGCCTCAGGATCTGGGAGAAGATTGAAGAAAGACGGTCGTTTTCGTTAACTGTGTTTTATCCAGTGAGAGAGAACAGCTGACTACCAGGACATTTTAAAGCATAGCATGCTTTATTCTGCAGACAGGTTTTCTTGAGATGCACATTTGAATGTCCAGTAGGATTTGGATGCAGCCCACATTGCCAAGGTACAAGTATCTGATGCAATGTCCATGATATCATTATGCTCTATAGGCCTGCAAACTGGCCCTGACATGAGCCCCTAGAGTGAATCTACGGGTATTAACAAGAGGAAGATTAGAAACACCACAGCAAGGAGTGTAGATGAGCTAAAGGCTGCTATCGAAGCTTTCCATGCTCCCTGAACACCTCGTCACAACCACAGTCTGATCACCTCCATGCCATACAGCAGCGGTTCAGTGATATGTGCAAAAAATAGTAACCGTTACACAATGCAGGGCATGGTCATTCATTAAAGTAAGGTTCATTTTTCTTTTTTATGGCTGCTTTATACATTTATGATCTAGTTTTGGAATGGATAACCATGACCTATGACAAAAGGTACATCCTTTGAGCCGATTTACAAAAGCAAACCTTTCAAATTACATCACATCTTATTTTGAAGCATGTGTTGTAGAATAGTACCACTACAAGCCCATTACTAAACAGTTTGAGTCTAAACATCTCAGGTAAAATTCTAAATGAAAGCCCTAAAAGTGTTGAAGAAATGATATCCCCTAATTTTTTCCATGTGCTGTAATTCTTCATTAATGATTTTTTTTAGTAACTTACACTCCTTACTGTGAGAGGTAATGAAAGAAGTAAGGTTGTTCCTCAAGAATATTTTTACAGTCCAGAGTTCTCTTGCTATTTTGCTGTTAAGTATGAATGGATGAAGAATTAAATGTATAAATTAATTAATTAAATGGATACATTCAAATGGACATTAACCTCACATTGAACTCTAAAGGATGATGTACACTTTTATTTATGCCAGAGTTGTTCTGGAATTTGACCACTAGATGGCACCAGCGTGCTGCTTTAAAGTGTTTTTTTTTTTTTTTTGGACCCAACCGCATTATAAACACACTGTTTGTTTGATAAAACGCAATATAAATAATTAAGGATGAGTTAAAAAATGGAAATTAAAATCAATAAAAAAAATATATAAATTTCTTTTTTTACTTGATATTTTTCTAAAACCAAGTGAGGCACAAAATCACGAAAAAAAATACAAATCGGGCTAAGGTCTCATCAATTCAATCCGAAGATGTAACCTCCCCACACAAAAAAACAAAACCCAAAACAATTCCTCGCGATATTTCAACGTTAAATGACGTCACCCTAAGGCACATCTGCACCTGAACTATGCTCATAAACATTAACAGTATACAAAAACGTTTGAGTCTTTTAATTTAAGATTTAAAGCAAATAAAGTAAGATGTGATTGTTAAAGAATATAAAATATACTTTGAGTAACCTTCTGCTGACCATGACAGTCACTGATGATCTGCTGACTGTCCTGATCTGATGGCACCTAATCTCTTAAAGGCCCGTGGCTTTGAAAACGCACATATCAACAATCGTTACTAAAGTTTTTTTTTTTATTATTATTATTATATATATATATTTTTTACTTTGTAGGAAGCATAAAATGCATCACTGTCGAATCGTTTTCAATTTATTCTAACCCAGTGGAGTGTATTTCATACGTAGGTGATTGAATCTGGCTATCTCTCCTCACAGTAGTATCAGTGCGCACATCTGCAAGCAGCTGAAGGACACTTCCAGCTACCGAGACGAAGCGATAAAGTCCGTAATTAAAATGCAAAAAAGGAAAGGACCGATAAAAAATAAATAACATCCCTTTGCCAGCATTGCCCCCTCTTTATTTCTCTTGAAGCTCAATAAATATAGAATAAGACTATAGGATTGTAGAAAACCAATAAGATTTAATGACAAAAAAGCAGATAGAAATTGTGCACTTGTTGGTTTCATTCCCCTTTTGCTGAATCACAGATTTCAGGTCGATACATTTTTATTTTGGTTTTATTTATTTTTTTCTCAAACCCCCATTCTTTTAGAATCAGAAACTCAAACTCGGGTGAAGGATTACAGGTTTACTACTCTTAACATTCTGGGTCTTAATTTCCATTCTTATTTATTTAATTTTTGGTGTTTTTTTTTTTTACTATAAGTCCAATAAAAACAATAAAAATAATTATTTGGTGTTACAAGTTAATATTTTAAATATTGCGATTTTTCAGTTGATTTGCAACAAAATGGAATTCGAAATTCGTATTTCTATTAATTAAAAATTCCCTAATAATTTATCTGCAATCATCAAAATTCCTCAACTGTATTTGAGTTTCTGACCTACAAGATTTCAATGAATCTGCGTCAGAGATTTGATCTCTAACTTCTGGAGAAGATCCCCACAGAAATGTCTCACATATTAGATCATAATCACAGGATTAAGGTGGCACAAGAACACGTGTCTGTGTTTGTGCTTTGGCACAGTTTGACATGGAAAAACAAAAAACAAAAACAGATATACAGTTAACAAAGTAAGGATATATACTTAAAAAACAAACAAACAAACAAAAAAACCAACAGGTTTTTCTCAGTGAATAGGTGAGTCCATACCAGGATCTCTCACCCATTACCACCTTTTTCGTTTTTAAAGAGAGAAAGGCTAAAATAAACCTGATTGCTTTGAATTCTCCAGTCGGACAGTCTCGGTCTGTTTCATCACAGCGTTTTGGGAAAAGTACAAATATAACCGACAGTAAAGAACACAGTGTAAACGGAAGCAGATAAATGAAACAATCACACACTTTATTACTACTATTATTATTATTACTATTATAATTGTTATTGCCATTACTATTATTTTTGTTTATTATATAATTATCATTATTGTTTTGATTATTAATTCATAGAATATAGACAAATAATATCCATAAATTATAATAATAGTAATAATAATAAAGTGTGTGGCCTGTATTTTGGGCTACAGCAGGTGTTTTCCATTTCAGCCTTTTGCCAAAAGCTGCAGGATCCCTGTCGCTTTTGTTATGATGGAAAGATGGCGTTTATTTACCACTGCAGCCTGTTCCTATAGTTTTCCTCCTGTGTTGCTGGAAAATTGCAGAAAATGTCGTTGCCTTTTTTTTTTTTTCTCCCCCCCTGTTTTATTTTTCTTCCCCATTTTGGTTAGCCCACACTTGCTCATTCTGCCTGGCGTGAAGCCATTCTACGCATCTCTGCTGAGTGTTTTTTAGCACCGGGGTGCCACTCTGCATCCCTGCGTACGTCCAACACTTAAAACTGGCTGAAGTCCAGTTCCAGCTGAATTTGACAAATAAGAAGCCGCCTCCTTCAAAGGCTTGTTTTCTCCCAAAATAAAAGTGAGAACACTAAACAGGGGTCACTGCACAGGAGTCTGTCCTCCGTGGTGAGGAGGGGTGTCCCCGTACATGTCCTCCCCTCCTGGTATCTGTCCCCCTGCTGGAGTCATTCTCTTCTCCTTCTGCCGCCGGTTACAGAACCAGACCCTCACCACCTCCTTCTCTAGCTGCAGGCTGTCCGCCAGGGAGTTGATCTCAGCCGCTCCGGGTTTGGGGCATTTCAGAAAATGGCTCTCCAGAGCGCCCTTGACGCCCACCTCGATAGAGGTCCGCTTTTTTCTTTTCCTCCCCTGCGCTGCGATCTTATCCAGGCTGGTGGGGCTCCCTGACGTGGAGTCCGCCTCCTCCAGCCACTTGTTCAGCAGCGGTTTGAGTTTGCACATGTTCTTGAAGCTGAGCTGGAGCGCCTCGAACCTGCAGATGGTGGTCTGAGAGAAGACGTTCCCGTAGAGAGTCCCCAGGGCCAGCCCCACGTCCGCCTGGGTGAAGCCCAGCTTGATCCGCCGCTGCTTGAACTGCTTGGCGAACTGCTCCAGCTCATCCGAGGTCGGCGTGTCCTCGTCCGACTGGTCCTGATGGCCCCCGTGCTGCTGGTGGTGGTGGGCCCCGGGGCCGCCCCCGTGCTCACTGAGGTGCGGGCTGTGGCTGTGGTGGTCTTCGTCCCGCAGGGGGTGGTGATGCATCCCTCCTTGCTCTCCCCCCGGCATCAAACCAAAGCCGGACTGGGAGTACACCAGGCTCTGTCCCTCAGATGTCGCCATGCCGGTGATGTGCGTCGTAGCCGTAGTGTTTCGCCATGCTCTGGCGTCGTGATGCGCCTGTTGGTGCGCTAGGTGAGGGTGTCGCTGTTGCTGCAGGCTGGTGGAGTTCTGCAGCTCATCTCGGTCACTGTCGTGCAGGATGGGCTTCACGTCCTGCTCTCGGAGGGGACTGGACGGCCACGGTGGCCCACTGTCACCGTGAGAGAGCGCTGTGATCCACTGGTGCGCGTGGCTGAGCGGATGCCCACCGCCCGGTAGCGAGCCGTAGTCGTTCTGGAGCAGGGTGTGCGCGTCCCTGTACGCTGCCGCCTGCTGCATGCTCCCGGACTCCGAGTGCGGCGGCGGCGGCGCGCTGCTGGGGGTGGTGAGGACGCTGTAGTGGTTGGACGCTGCGGTCGCCATAAACTCTCTCGGAGCCAGAGTGATAGCCGGAGTTAAAGAGGGAAGCTGCCTCTGACAGGAACTCTCTTTGCGCCACAGGGCAACTATAGTCGTCTCTCTCCAGCATCTCCCGGGCGCTGTGCCAAGGGGACGCAGAGGCGCGCACCTGTGGTCCGCCTCGCTCCGCTCTTTATTGGCCGAGAACGCCTGACAGATGTGGTTACCCCTGACAGCACCCCGCTCATTGGTCACGGGAGATTGTGTTGAAACCCCAATCAGTCTGGCCAACAATGCGATCAGTCCTGCAGCATGTTAGTGAACAAAGTGGAAATGGAGAAACTTTGTTTAAACACGGAAAATATGGCTAAATGTTGGACTTAAAAAAATACCATTGTATTCTTTATCTGGGTCAGTGGGCTATATTTGTTGGTTTCATGCGTAAAAACGAAGCGTAAAAGTTTCAGACCTTCCAAATATGTATTATTTGTGCAAAACAAACCTAACTCTGATCAAACCAATAAATGAAGGGATTTGAAAGCAAATAGATTGCAGTGATCAAGAGGAAGAACTCCCAGCTGCCTCTCTGCCCTCAGGACGCTGTCCAAAGAGAGAAGGAGAAAGTGGGATAGGGATCGCGTGCCTCCAGCTCCTGCCCCGTTGCCATGGCGAATGCGGTGAATGGATCAACGACGCCACGTCACAGCTGCAATTCGCTGCTTCTTTTGCGCCCTTCGCTCGGGCATTGGGGACAAATAATGCAAGGGAAGGGGTGGCGATCAGAGAGGGCAGCTGAGGGGCCAAACAGAGAGGAGGCTGCAAGAATGGATCCCTTAGTGCGCCGAGCCCCCACCCACCTGCTTGTTGGGTAAACTTTGGATATGGATGCACACACAGGAATTGGGGTGGGGTGTGGGGGGTTGCTTTTCTTCTAAAAACCTCTGACCACCATAGGGGGGCTTCAATTGTTACGACATGGTTAATGAACCAAATACCCGAGATCTTCTTTAGAAAAGTAACACATATTTTCATACCAGCTTCTGTAAACTGAATAACTTTGCAGATTCTACGTTTAGTAATTATCCAAATAACATAACCTTCTACAGGCAGACATTCACTATCAGAAAATACTCTATAACCGCCATTGTTCCCAACAACCTTACTAAGTTCTTACATTTTGCACAGTTTCTGTCTTAGTTAAATAACCTGCTGCTGTCAATCTTAACATCTCTGATGTTGCTGCTATTTTCAAATATCTGTTACTGTAAAAATAGCTATATATTGGTTATTTATTCTCCTGGTGCAAAGTATTTATATTGTTAAAACACCTTACAGTACAGTATTTCATTTGTTTTAACTCTTTACTAGTATGCTTTTCTTATACTCGTTCTAAGGTCCACATTTGTGTAACAATTTTTTTTCTCCTGTAAACACCAGAATTTCCCCATTGAGGTAAAATAAAGGGATGTTCTATTCTATTCTATTCTATTCTATTCTATTCTATTCTATTCTATTCTATTCTATTCTATTCTATTCTATTCTATTCTAAAAAAAAAAGGGTATTTTTAAAATGTAGTTTTTAAACTTGATCCATGTTTAACGCATGGAAGGTAGATTTTCTATAAATTTCTATTAAAATATTTTAAATGTTTTCTTTTTAAAGGACTCTGATATGATCTATTAGAAACCACAGCAACAAAAAGGAATATGCTTGAGGTTAAAATGTGTGGGAAACACTGCAGCAATGCCAGACTTTGAGGTAAATCTTGTAAATTGCTATGCAAGGTACAGAAGAACACCAACACACATCAGCCCAAGTGCAGCATCCCTGTTATGAAACGAGGTGGGGCAACATTGTGCATTCATTGTGGTTTCCTGCAGGGAGAACAGAGGAATTGGGCAGAGATGAAAATCTAGAGCTAAATGCATGGCAATCTGAAAAACAGCAACAAGAAAAGACTTCAATTTGGTGAAGATGAAAACTTATGAGAGCCATTGTGATTCAAGTGTGATGATCGTCTCAGTTTCTATGATCTGATGTGAGTGAGCAGTAGCTCTACAGGCACTCATTTTTATTTAGGAGTATCGGAGTAAACTGGGCTAAATACAATCGCAGTTCACACCTCCCAAATGTTTGTTGGCATATATGTTTTAAATGTATTTTATTATTATCATTATTATTATTATTATTATTATTCAGACCTATTCTCTACTTTGATTTGGTTTATCGCATACCATATAACTAATATAGATGGAGTTTGTGGCTTTAAAATATAATGTGTAAAAGTTATAGAATGAATATTTTTAAGGTAGGTTAAGGTATACGTTTTCAAAGATATTATATGTATATATTCTAGGTTATATTGACTTCATATTGCCTGTATGCTGTCATATAAAACCATGATAATGCTTCCACAGGCCTAAATTGTCTTAAACACGCAATTTTTTGGATTGCAGATAACCAAAGCCTCACAATGTAATACCAGATGTGCGTAAAACATTTGTTGCAGATTTTAAATGCATTATCACAAAAAATAAATAATGAGAATGTTTTAACTACCTCCAATCTTCCTAAAGCAAATATCTGCATATGTAGCTTTGCATGTGTGTGGCAGTTTTAGTGGCAGAGCAGCAGAGATTTAGCTTTGACACATGTTTAAAAGGTTTCAAAAAAATATTTTCTGATAAACAGAACAAGCAATAAACAGATTATTTAATACATCAGCTTAAACCATGCCTTTCTTTAACACAGTTTCATCAATTTTTACCAGTAGGAACAGCAACGGACTGACTACACCTGAAAAAAAGACTTTCTAAATACCACACTATATTGATCCAACTTGTGCTGGAAAGAAGTTTCAATCGCTTCAATCAAGCTCTGGCTGGGCTGTATCAATTCTTTTAATTAGTTGAGGGATATTAATAATAATAATAATAATAATAATAATAATAATAATAATAATAATAATAATAATAATAATAATAATAATAATAATAATAAAATAATCATCATCATCATCATCATCATCATCATCATCATCATCATCATCATCTAATGGTGATGCATAAACAAATAAAAAAAATTATTAATAAATGAATACATAAATAATGATACAACTGCTGAGTCCCCAGGGTATCTCTAAACCTATTTACAACAGGTTATGTGATTTCATTAGTTTGATGTAGAACAACACAGGGATAAAAAAAAAAAAAAAAAGAATAAATAAATTAGCATGTGAAGAAAATAGAAACTCCCAAAACCTAACAGGTTTACATCTGCAGCTAAAACCTACTGCCTCTGGTGGTAATAGCTTTAATCTCAGGAGGGACAGCAGAGATCGAACAGTCAGGTGAATAATTTGTTCACATGACATCTACTTGTATAAGACATGGTCCTACATATATCTATCATTTTTAAATGTTTTTTGACCAGATTAGATGGACCTTTTGACTTACATCTAACACATTATGTATGATGATAAAGTAACATTTAAGATGGTCTTGAGAAAAAAAACAACAACAACAACAAAAAAACAATATTCCAATGATTAAACATAGTGGTGGCAGCTTTATGCTGTGGGGAAGTTTCACTTCAGTGCAAGGCAGCTGGTTAATGCTAAAGAATGCGGCTAGAAAACAGGGCAATCCTTGCTGCAAAAAAAATAAGTTGAGGTTATGTAACAGAGAATAACAAGTATAGTTTGACAAGCGATTTTATATGAAAATGGTCCAGTCAAAGTCCAAACCTTTATCCAGTTAAGACTTTAGCAAAACATACAAACTGATATTCACAAACACTCTCCTTCCAGTTTTACTAAGCTTGAGCTATTTTTTTACACAAGATTTGGCCAAGATTTTAGTCTCAATATTTGAAAAAACTTTAGAGTCAACGCTCAAAAAGCTTGTGCTGGAACTGGAGAAAACAATTGTTCAGAATAACATGCAACAAGTTATAGATTTTGTTTCAAAAAGCTTAAGAAGCAATCTGTCATTTTCCCTGCTTCACTAGCATTCCTGTCCATGCTTCTTATGCCACTTAACTGTCAAGGTCAAGAGGGCAAGTGCACATCTCCACCAGTCTATGAGCAAATAAAACACCCTGGTACACCCATCCATTGCAGGGTAGACATACATCAATGCTCACAAGGTGCAGTTTAAAGAAATGAATTGTCATGTTTTGGGGGCTGTGAGAGGAAGCCGATTTATCAAGATAGAATTCTAACATCTACAGTTAGTACATGAAAACTCTATGCAGAAAGGCCAGGACCTCACTGCTTGAAGGCAGCAGTGATACAAACTGCTGCCCCTAAGCATACCCCTTTATGTGTTTTTTTCTTTCACAGAAAAAGCCCAGTAAAACATCACAGATATTGGTTGCTACCTGAAAAAGAGTAAAAAGTACAAGGACAGTGAATACTTTTGTCAGTTGCTGTGTATTGATTGGTTAATCAGTGAGTGTGAATGAATAAACCTGGGGTTCAGAGACTTAAACTAGACGTAGATTTAATAGGATCCAAAGAACAGCAGTTTATGATCGGGGGCACGATTCCGAGAATTACTAAATGTGTCACCAGGGGTTTTGGCAAGCCGTGTGTTGATACAGGCAAAACATATTACTCTAATAGACTAATATGCAAACTACTGGCTGCCCAATTACAGAACTTAATAATGCATAAATGATGCGAGGTCTGTTCTTACAAGTCGAAGGGGTCGCTGTTAATTCAGTCAAAGGCTGCTGGGTATGGCTCAGCAGGTTCACACACATGCTGCCTCAGTTTGCCTGCGTCTATTCTAGAGCGAGGGTTAACGATGAAGATTCTGAGCATTAAATTAACAGTAATTATGTGGCCCCATAGCTGTAAAAATTAAATTTGTTTCCAAGAATAATGGGTGTAAGTGTCCCAATGTGCAGACTCGATTCTGAAGGAGATATTTATGATTTAAAAAGAACAGAGTAATTGTAAACATCTATAGAAGGAGGCATCTAATGGTTTGGGGGAAATAAAAGAGGTAAAAAGAATAGAATAAGATAAAAAATAAAAATAAAAAAATAATTCGGATGTGAAAAGTTGTTTCTATTTGTTGCTCCTCTGTAAAAAAGTGTCACCTGCTCTTTGTGCTGATTAGAAAAAAACTCCCTGCATGATTCAAATCTGAGATAAATAAGTTTATGTGAGTGAACCAGCCATTTCTCCAGACCAATATGTGACCCTTTCATGTCCCTCCCCCTGTGGGAACCCTAACACCGGGGGTAACTGGGGCAGAAAGGAGGGGGCTTCTTTATACTGCTGGACACAGGGAGATAATGGCCATTCCTCCACAGCTGGCCCTCACAATCAAAGGAAGAGGGAGCTTGGAGGATTCCAGCTTTAACCAAGCCTTTGTCTGGGCTAATTACATCTGAATGCGAGACCCCAAAACCCCTCCTCCCCCCCAGAGCAAAACCTGCACAAAATACTCCAAACAGCCCTTCAGCAAGGAGGCAGAGTGCACAGACATAGGGCACACATACAGGGGAACATATAAACCAGAAGACTAATTTACCATCCTTAAATGTTAACTCTCATACGCACACACAGACTCTGAACTTGTTCATTATCCAGAAACACATCCTCATCCCCAGCAGGCTCTCATCAAAGTGCTGTGCCTCACTCGCACACACTCACTTGTGGCACTTGGCATTAGATCAGATCTCAGTTTGGTGCTCTCAGAAGAGATAAGGAGGTCTTAGAGGACTTAGGTTGAATGGAAAACACAGTGAAGAGCCTTTCCCTCATGCGCCCCCATAATCCCAATCTATACCCTCTCCCTCTGGAGTCCCCCCCAACCTCCAGTGTTCAGCTCCATCTGTGCTCTGAACTATTCAGCTCCATACAAACCTCAAAAACTGCTCAGTGATGTTTGGCTTTGGAGGAATCTGTTCTCATTGGCTGTTCACTTGGTAATGGAATGCAACTTTTTCAAATCGCATGGCCACTATTTGTTAAGGCTCTGGTAGGAGTTATCTAAACTGTAGGTTTCCCAGAAAAACAAAATCTGTGTTTTAAACAATCTTTTATGCAACTAGAATAACTCATATGAATACAGCTTTAGGTTGAAGTTTGTAATTTCTTTTTCCCAAACTGGCTTTTTAATGCCTTAATTATTTGAAACATCTCTAGATTTTGTACTAGACATGATAAAATACTGTCAAGACTCTAATATTACTGTGGCAGAAAACGACTTTTACAATGTCAAATAATTTTGTGGGTGAAAAGGACAAGTTCCATTGTGGTAAATTGCAAATTATGCTTTGATGATGATAAACATCTCTCCATTTTAAAGAATTCTACTTCAAATTTGAGAGGGAAAGTGGAGAACATCAAGGTTATAACAGTGCGATGTGCAATTGAATACATGGTAATGCGGTGCTGAATTTTTAAACTTTAGCTTTTAGTTTGAGAAGATATGGAACCTTGTAGAAATATTGATAATATTGTTGACAATTAAATGGTGGAAGAATTGCAGCAAATATATCCTGCAAACCTGAACAAAATAACCCCCAAAACTCTTCAAAAAGAAGACAGAATACATATGTAATATAATTCTTAAGTTAGATAAACTCTTTAAGATTACTGAAATGCTGGTATTTCCTAATGAAGGATTTGTTGCTATGAAACAGCAGGAGTGAAAAATACACCAATATTGAAGCCCTACAAACACTAAAAGCTTTAATGTACAAAATATTGAAGTTGCTAAGGCTGCAGTCCCCCCCTTGTGGAGGTTGTAGGATAAAACAACCAAACAACCCTAATGCAGCTGCAACTTTGCACATGGAGATGTAAGAAGCTGTTATTTAAAAATAAAAGATACAATAAAAGTAAAGATATTTTTTTTCTCTACAGTTTCTGTGAAAGGCAGTGTAAGCACAGTAGCAGAGCCAGTTGCTACAGAGAGAAGTTACTAACTAGATAGTAAATTAAGACCCAAATAGCTACCAACATGGTCACATCAGAACCAGTGTATTTCATTATGGATTATATTCGGTTGCCAACGCCAAATGGATGCATTTATTTAAAACCCAAACTCTGGAGGAGCTGCAAAGATTATTGGGTGTACAATCTACAACAGCACAAGCAAATGCTGCTTTTTATGGATGATGTGGTTCTGCTGGTTCCCTTCTACCTGTAAAGACCCACAGCTTCCATTGGGGTGGTTTGCAATTGAGAAAAATGGAAAAAGGTTATTTGCTCTCTTTAGGTAAGAGGAAAATCCCTGTCTCAAGTGTAGAAGTTCAAATAACTTGAGCTCATGAGTGTTGAGAGAATGGGGCAGAAAACTGATAGATCATTGTGGCCGCTGCAGTATTGCAGATTCTTTACTGGTTCTTTGTGGTGAATGATGAGCTGGGCCAAAAGGCTCTCTCATAAAAATAGTTTAAGGAGTTCTACCATCCAGGAGAGGCTCTGAGTGGAGCAGCTTCTCTTCCACAATAAGAGGAGTTAGCTGAGGTGGCTCAGACGTTTCTTTCAAAGGACCCTGGATGCCTCCCTTAGGGGGCATGCACATCCTATTGGTTAGATGTGCCCACCTCCAGAGTGGTAGGCCTGTTGCAGGTGTCTGGAGAGGTGGAAGTCTGGGTGTCTCTGCTGAGACTGTTCCCCCTGCAAGTCAGTCCCTGATAAGGGAAAAAAAACGGGAGTATGAGGTTGTCAGTTTTGGATTAGTACTTGCAGCAATTGTTAAAGAGACTCCACAAAAGATTATTCTGCTGCCCATGTTTAATTTAAGGCAACTCTACCACAGATATGCAAACATGAAGTGGAAAATGTGTTTTATTGAGGGTAGACAATACTTACCTACCACCTTTCCTATGGCGTAATTAGAGTCAATGAAGCCAATAAATGTAAGTGATCTTGGAGTCAATTTGCAATTCATGAAAGCAGTTGCCATGCCATCTGCACATAAAGATCAGGTAATTGTTTACTAAAAGTGCAGGCGGAAATGCCATTGATACAATAGTACAATTGTTATTTAACGTATAAAGGCTGAAGGCTTGATGTCAGATTATATTTGCAAATTGGCTTTAAATCTGGTTGAATGGCAATAAAAAAAGAAGATCTAAAGGTTTAAACAATGAAGGCAGTTAAAACTGTTTCATCGGTTACAACTAGACACAGATGATTGAAAGGTAACATTAGAAGGCTTTAGTTTAACTATAGAATCTATGATGTGATCCAGTATCTCTCTTCTCTATGGACTGTGTGTAGGGATTGTTAAGAGAAATGAGAGTATACAGTAATTCGGGTACCCTGGATGCATTCCACATTTTGTGTTTTTGTGAGTGTATGTGTGAGTGACAGCATGAGGGTTAGGAGGTCTCAATGGTGCTCAGTTTAGCATTGATTTATTCTCTTTCTCCAATTTATTTCCTCTTCGCCTGATCTGCCTCTGGGAGGACAAATGGAGGAGAAACGCCAAACAGAGTAACTATCCTTCCCTCTCTCTCCTCTACACACACAAACACGCACACACATATTGTCAGGGTATTTCCACAAGCAGAAACGCTCTTAAATCCATTTTCCTTCATGCAGACGGTTTTAAATACAGCTCAAACTGATGTCTCTACTGCTGTGATCATTGTGTAGAACTGTAAATTCACCACTCTTTTCAAATCCCCGGGCACCATAGCTCCTATAAGACTTCCCATGTTGTCCCATATAAATGTCTTCAGTGAACCCATAAAGACATAAAGGGACGCTTGCACCTCCAGCTGAGTGGTCATAACTCACCGTTAGGTATTTTTACTGTGACACTGCTGTCGAGAAAACCCAGATTCATCTTCTCCTCTTTTTACAATGTCCTCCACAAGCTGTAGCTGTAGGAGAAGCACAAGTGTAGTCATATTTTACCATCATCTTATTGGCAGGTGCTTCTTTAGGGGTTCAGGAACAGACTTTGCTTTGTTTCTATGGGTTGCAATAATGACCATCATCTTTTCACTTTCCAGCTGGAAAAAAAGCTCATCAGGAAAGTGGGTGTGGGGAAAGGGGGCCGGCAGGTCATTAAACCCACTTGAAAGCTCGACGCCCTGATCGATTGTCTCGAACCAGGCAGGGATTAAAATCAGGCTAAGTCTGTACTAATCAATACTGATGGCTAACCCTGGGGTTAAAACAGGTGTAAATCCCCATACACGCCCATACACAAGTCTGAGCCGTGGCTTACTGTACAGATAAATCCACGGCTCTCCATGCAAATGGAAAGACAATTGGTTACAGTCAGAGTACGGTCAATGTGAATGAGTGCTTCTTAGGCAGTAACATATGTGGTTGTATAAATGTGGAGTGACAGTCTAGTAAAAAGGTAATAGTGTCCATTGAGTGAATCTTTCAGGAATGAGTTTAAGGTGCAAGACTGTGTGACAGAGAAAATGAATAGTTACTGCTGTGTTGGCATCTATACAAATAGCTGAGCTTTAATGCAGGTGAGAACATACGGAGAAAGAGCTCACATCCATGATTGACCATTTCACACTCTAATGGAAGGTGAACATCACAGCTTTGATTGATCTCACCAGCACTGGTCTCCTTATCAGGCACCAATATGGATCAGTGTATCTATAGAAAGACAAAGCTGCTGCACAACTAAATTCCATCAGTTTTTTTTCCTTTCAGGTGGTATATGCACATAAAGGATATGTAAAAGCTCAAATTAAGTAAAGCTTTATATTTTGGCATACAGGAATTAGTTAGGTTTAAAATCCACATCAAACAAGCTGCTATTTTTGTAAATTTAATGCACATTCTCTTTAAAAAATATAAACTTAATATTTAGTCCCATGAAAACTTAAACAAATATTGAAACATATTTCTATATTATATGTTTACATATGGAAAAGAAACTGATTTTATTTGGGAACGAAGAAATAAAAACAACGAAACCCTCAAGGCTAATGAGTAAGACTTTAAACAAGTCTCAATCATTCACAATGGCACGTTCAATTTCAGTTGTGGGATGTTTAGGGCATTCCATGCATGTTTAGCCTGTTTCAGAGAAATAAACATCTGGACATTTACTACGCCCATGAGTTTCCGTTACGTTTTAAGCCTTAACTTTGATAAATTTAGCGGGATGTTTTGGATCATCACTATGTCATTGGTCCACTTCTGGTTAAGTATCATTTTTCTACATCTGTTTTGTTAGAGAACCTTCTGCTACATAGTGATTTCAAGGTGGATTGTCTGACAGTGAGCCAGCCAAGCCCTGCAGCAGCAAAGACTATTAGACTTACCTCCATGCTGCAGTTGGTACAAGTTTCTTGAACTGGAAATCTGTATTTGGTTCACCGCCTTTCTGTTTTCCTTGCATTTCTCAAAACGATCTTATTCCAGAATACCATGTCTTTGTCTGGATCCTCAGTGAGAAACTTAAATCTGACCTTTATGTTTTTTATTATTGAACAAATGCTTCCTCTTTGTACAATGCAGAAGAGACATCAAGTTGTACCATATCTTTCTATTTAAACAGCCAGGAATATTAATATCAACAGCAGCAACAGCCTGTTGTAGATCTGTAATGAAGAGATTTTCATTACTGGGACCATTAATATGTAAATAAGTTGTAACACTTTAAAGGCACCTTTGCACTCTAATAAAAAGCAGGTTAGTTAGAACTATGACACATTTTCCCTTTACCTTTTTTAATTAACACTTTCT